AGACCCCACAGGTGGTTTTCATGGTGACCGAGCCTTCGCCTCGGCAGCAGACGAAGCTGACTGGGACGAGCAGAACGTGGATGAAGCCTCGGAGGAAGCCGGGCCTCTCCCTTACTGCTCCGTCGATGTCCCAATGGATGACGAAAACCCTCGCGAAAGCGTCAACGCCGAAGTATATTACCACTTCGCCGACAACGGTTACGTTACACCTGCAAGAGTCAACACCAACGAAGCAGAACGCATAGGGCCCAGTTTCATACCTGACCCAGAAGCGGGAGACGAAGCAGCTTATCCCGAGGACACGACACTTCCCCGCTACACACAGAGTGGCCTCCAGATACTCGGCCTCGTCACCGCGGTCCACGGCACAGCGATTCCTAAGGAGCCTGCCACAGTTCAGCAGGCTCTGGGGGGGGAGCATAAGGAAAAATGGCGCGAAGCCATGGACAGGGAGCTGAAAGCGCTGGAAGAACGGAACACCTGGAAAGTCGTTCCCATCGGCGTGGCACGCAACAAAACGGTACTCACCGGAAAATGGGTTTTCCGTGTGAAAACAAAGGTAGACGGCACCATCGACAAATTTAAGGCGCGCTGGGTCATGCGCGGTTTCGACCAAGAGCACGGACGCGATTTCACCGAGACGTTCGCCCCGGTCAGCCGACACACCTCGCTTCGAATTCTCCTCGCGATCGCCGCCATGAAGAAGAAGAAACTGCGGCAAATCGACGTCGCTAATGCATTTCTCTACGCATATGTTGACGCCGAAATCTTCGTCGAACTGCCACACGGATCAAACGGAGAACCTAACCAAGTCTGTCAGCTGCTGAAGTCCCTGTACGGTATCAAACAGGCTCCGAGACTGTGGCAACAGTACCTACACGCTAGACTTATCCGCATCGGATTCCGCCAACTACCGCACGACCAGGGCATGTACCGGCTCACAAAAGGCGACGACTACATTCTGCTCATCGTCTACGTGGACGATCTGCTCTACATCGGCTCAACTGACGGCGTCACTACCTGGTTCGAAGGGGAGCTGCAGCAGGACCTTACTCTCACAGTGTCATCGACCGTCACGCAATACCTCGGCCTCAACATCCAGGAAGAGGAATGCGCAATCTATCTCAGCGCCGCGAAATACGCTGACACCATCGCCAAACGCTTCGGCCTCACCCCGACCACTATCTCCACGCCATATCGCTACACCGTCGGAAATCATAAGGAAAGATCCGCTCCACTCAAGCCCGCCGGCATACGCGACTACCAGAGAAAGTTGGGATGCCTCCTCTTCGCGGCCGTCACCTGCCGTCCGGATCTATCGTACTCTGCGAGTCAACTCGCCACCTACCTCAAAAGGCCTGAAGCAGAACACATGGCGGAGCTCGACCGCGCTCTTCACTACCTCGTTAGCACTCCAACGATCGGCCTGACCTATCACAAGAACGGAACCTCGACACCTAAGTTAATCGGCTACGTCGACGCCGATCACGCCGGCGACTCCGACAACAGGCGCTCGCGCACCGGCTACATCTATCGCTTCGAACCTATCGGAGCCATCTCCTGGCAGTCGAGCAAGCAGGAGTTAATCGCCCTCTCCTCAGCTGAAGCAGAATATATCGCACTCTGCTCAGCCACCAAGGAAGGACTGTACCTTCGCGAACTCCTGGAGGAAGCAAAGCTGGCTCTGTTACCCAGATTCTCCCTGTTTTGCGACAACCAGTCAGCAATTTGTCGTAACAGCAGGCTAAAACGATAAACAGGAAAGGAGGGTTTTCACTAGCATGCAGTTGAGTACATATAGCAAACCCTAATTCGGGCTGTACTCGCTACAGAGTACCCCACTGCAGGCTACACAAACATCACATTCTGACACACCCCCATAGTCAAAGTGGGGTACAATCAACACCACAAGCAGTCATAGAGCAATAGTTCACAATGATATGCAAAGCTAGAAGCAGTCACAGAGGGCAAGTGAGGAGGAGGAGAGACTGTGAGAGGAGTGAAGATAGAAGGCGACGGGTGAAGCCGCAGACACACGGGCAACAGGAACGGCGCGCACGGTGGCTACCGGAGCACTCAACCTCCGGACTACAGGAGTAACTGGCTCCGCGCTAAGCAGCAGCAGGAGCAACAGACCCACGGGCGACTGGCAGCAGCAGGCTCGCTGGGCTACCGGAGTACTCAACCCCGGGACTACTGGCGCTGCAGACGTCACAACGGCCACCTCCTGTCAACCTCCCCCAACTGTCTCACACCCCTTTCACACACTCCCTGCTGTGCCCCTAGCACTCCTCACACGCCACCCCCCTCGTACCACTCCAACGGCTCCCACACATCCACCCCTCTCAGCGGCAGCTGCAGCAGCGGGAGACGGAGGAGGAGGAGGAGCAGGGAAGGCCGCACACACCTGTCACCCCCATACTCCCCACCCCGAAACCCTAACACAGGAGCGCGGGCAGCAGCGGGGGTGGGGCGCGGCCAGAAGCTCGGGGGACGAACCGCGCGCGGGCTGCCCGGGCCGCGCGCGGGCCTGGCGCAAGCCGTACGGGCCGCGCGTGGGCTGTACGGGCCGCGCGCGGGCCTGGCGCAGCCCGTACGGGCCGCGCGCGGGCCTGGCGCAGGTCGCGCGGGCCGCGTCGGGCGACGGGGGGCGACGCGCGGGTCCCCGGGGGCTCCGCAACTGGCGACGGGGGGGCGACGCGCGTTTCGACGGGGTAGGAAACCGCCGCGCGCCCCGAGCGCGCGGCGGGATGAAAAATCGCCGCGCGCCCGGAGCGCGCGGCAGGCAGGGGACAGCAGGAAACCGCAGATGAAGCATTGGGCGGGACCACCCACAGGATCGACCCAGGAGGGTCGACCTGCTCTGATAGCATGTCGTAACAGTAGGCTAAAACGATAAACAGGAAAGGAGGGTTTTCACTAGCATGCAGTTGAGTACATATAGCAAACCCTAATTCAGCATGTACTCGCTACAGAGTACCCCACTGCAGGCTACACAAACATCACATTCTGACACAATTCGCATAGCCAACAAAAATGGATTCGCGAACAGGACGAAGCACATCGCCCTGCGATATTTCTTCGTGAAGGACGAGATTGAGAAGGGGAGACTCGAGCTGTCCTACTGCCCCACGTCTGAGATGGCAGCTGATTACTTGACCAAGAAGCTCGGGAAGCAGAAGTTCGAGTACTGCATGCTGCTGACTGGACAGAGCCACGTCACCAGCAGCGACACTCCAGAAGCGAAGGGTGGTGTTGGAAACAAGTGATTTAAGCGCCTCTGTCGCGTCGAAACACTAAGTCATAAACGAAGCGAAACACAGCGAAGCATCAGCGAGTCAACCCTCGGAGGTTGAGCAACTGCTGGAGGTTACGCGAAAGTCAAAGGTCAGCGACCTTTGACCTGACAAGTACAGCGCGACAGCAAGGACAAACAACTGACTCGTTATCGAGCAGTTGCCCGAGTCGTCTCTGTATCGAACCGCAACAGCAAACAGTAAAACAGTTATTAGTTGCATCTTTTCATATTCCTTGTACTCTTATAAAAGCCTTATCTCTTTGATTAAACAATCTACTTTGCCCTCACATACCAGCCAGGCCTCTGGTTAACAGGGTGATTCACCCTTATGACCCTTACTATAAGGCTGGGTTTGACTATGCACCCTTTTTTATCAGAGTGGTCATCTTTTCAACCCTTTCAAGAAAAAGTCTTTGGTTATACTACACTGATATTTCAGAGCTATGTGGTGTAGCAACACTGATGATATTGAGATAGATCTAACGGAGTATAGTAGGATTCCTCGCGCAATATGTGGTCCTGCTCGGATTTGCCCACATCAGGTATCGAATTTGGGTCGTACGTTCACATTCCTCGACACAACTCACTGCAACACAACAACTTGACCAAGGGGAAGAGTTAAATTAATAATCATAAAACAGTTATATTTTTGCACCCTTAGAAAGAGTAGTTTTTGTGATGCACCCTTACAGAAAAAGTGAAAGCGGGGTGTTGGCCTTACGCGAAAGAGTAGTTCAAAACCTAACCAGAGGCCTGATCATTAATGCTTCCGCTATTACATTGTTCCTACCCAGCGCAAGGTGGTTCATAGACTCATCATTAATGCTTCCACTATTACATTGTTCCTACCCAGAGTTTAGTCCTGCAAAGATCCTAAGGGCTTGTTCTCAGCCCAACAATGTCTTCCATACCAGAGGGAGCTCTTGCCTGGCATGAACATGCCACCAGCCACATGATAAAATTGTCTATGCAACTTGTGCAGCATTGGAATATCTGGCAAGGGTTTGCAAAAAAAATGTTTCCTTTGTGTGTCCCATAAATGTATAAAATGTGAAATGACCGTTCACGTTCCAAACAACCAATTTTCTGTAGCGCGTATGACCCAAACAGAAATTTCGCCATTTGACTTGCTACCATGGCGGCGACACCACAGGCGACGAGAACACCAATGGCGTCGGCACCCGCTCTTGGGATATACAGCGCGCCATGCGGCGCGCGCAGTGACACACTTCGCGGTTTAGTCAAAATGCCACACTCACACAGCCATGTTGCTGCAGCGAGCCCTGCTGTAATTTTCAGCAGCACTGGCTGCAAACGCGGAATTTGCGGCCGGCCCGTCGCACGCGTCCACGTCAGCCTTCCCTGCTTCTGCGGAGCCTTGCAGTCGCGCTCCCGGAAGTTGCGGTCTGTCGATTGCGGCCAGAGTTGGATAGGTCAGGGTACGGTTGCCCGTGCTGCTCACATCACACGTAACGGCAATAAGGACGTACGCGCTTTAGACTCTCGCATTATCAGCGCATGCTGCTTCCTAATAAAGCACGAGAGATCAAGCCGTCCAGACCTGCGTTGCCAAGCCGGAGCGGGAGGCTCGGAAGTTGCCGAGGCAGTGCCGGACGAGCCAGCTAGGTCCGGAAAATATGAGGCTTGGAACGCCACCACGGAGCGGCTGACGGCGCTGTCGACCGTAGCGGGACTGTTTATGATGGTGCCGCAGGTGATGATGGGGGGAAGGGGAAGTGGGGGAGGGGGGGTGGGGAAGGGGGAGAGGGGGGTGGTGGATGGGGAGAAGGGGAGGAGAGGAGAAGGGGTGAGGGCAAGGAGAGAAAAGAGGCTGGCGGTGCTATAGACTGTAGCGGGACCGTTTATGATGGTGCCGCAGGTGACTCGTGGTTGGTTGGGGGAAAGGGAAGTGGGGGAAGGGAGGGGAGGACGGGAATGATATGAGAAGGGCGATGACGGGGAAAGGGGAGTGAGAAGGGGGAAAGCGATATGAGATGGGGGAGGAGGGGAGGAGCGGCTGACGGAAGGTGAATGGTGTTAGAAATAGGCTGTCAACACTTTGTACTATATTCTATATCGGTTAGGTTATTTTGTAGGTTGGGTGTAGATTGTAATCCCAACCCTATCTGGTTGGGATTCCCTCGTAATCCAGCAAATCTGCCAACTCACCAATTGGAGATTTGCTAGGATTCCCATTCCATCATTTCCCTAGTTTTTCCCAACTCAACCTTGTTTGTACTTAAGGCCTAGCGCCTTTTTTACTAATCAGTCAGTTCAGCTCCATTTCTATCAAATGAGACATGGAAAATGGCGATGAGAGGGAGGAAGGGTAACTAACCAGGATATGCCAGGCAACTGTAATTGAAGGTGGACCTGGGGAGTGGGACAGCAGGAAGGGGAGTGGTAGGGGAGTGACAGGAGGACAAGAAGAGAGGGGGAGAAGGGGATGTGGTGTGGTGTGCAGTAGGAGCAGCCCTGTCTTCCCGTGCACCTTGCGTGCCCCCTCTCCCTCCCATCCCAAACCCACAAGCCTCCCCCCAAACCCCTCCGCCTCTGCCTCTGCATCTGCGTCTGTTACCCCCTTCTCCTCCCCCCGCTTTCCTCCATTTTTGTCACCCCTCATCCCTCGCCCCTCACCTCTCATCTTTCGCCCCTCACTCTCATCCCTTGCCCCTCATACATCGCCCTTCTCTCGCCGTGCATCACTCGCTGCCACTCTAGATCCCACCGTCCTGAGCGCCAGCCAGGAAGGGGGCGCTGCCCGTCCCTTCACCTCATTCCTCACACGCATCTCCCATCTCTCCCTTTGCATTGCTCTCCCCTCCCGCCCCCCGCTCCCCCCCCCTCCCCCTCTCCCCCCCACCCTGCAGATACTGAAGAACGCCGCTCTGCTGCGTGCCAACCAGGGGGCGGCACTGGGCATCCTGTCCTGGCTGGGCTTCGCCACGGGCTTCCTGGGCAACATGCTGCTGCTCTCCTACTTCACCGCTAAGGGGGAGCTCTCTGCGTGCCTCGTGCAGGTAATGCCTCGTGCAGGTAATGCCTCGTGCAGGTAATGCCTCGTGCAGGTAATGCGTGGCGCAGGTAATGATTGGCGCAGGTAATGATTGGCGCATCCAATGCGTGGCGCAGGTAATGATTGGCGCATCCACAGCCTTTTTCCTCTCCCAGGTCTCATCGCGGGGTTCATGCCGCCACCAGCCTTCACAGCCCTGCCCGCCCCGTTCCCCCCCATCCCCCCCCGTCTATCTGGTAGTAGGAGCGGCATTCATGGCCGTCTTCCTCTCCCAAGCGGGTTTCATGCCTATCTGTGATGAACATCCACCAGCCTGCACCACTGTCACCGCCTATCTGCTGCTCGGATGCATCGTCATAGCCTGCGCTTCGCACGCCCGGCCGCTTCCAGCGGTCACCGCCACCCTCAGCCACCAAACTCGCTCCCCCGGTCTTCCTCCCGCCTTCCCATCCCGTCCCCCCTGCCTCCCCTCTCCTCCTCCTCCCTCGAATAGGTAGTGGGAGCCACCTCCATGGCCGTCGTCTCTCGCATGTCGTCATTGCAGGCTGCATGCCGCCGTCGAAGCAGCCGAGAAGCAGATAGGCTGCTGCTTAACAGCTGTTAACAGCTGTGGCTGCCTGTCTGCTGCTCGGCTGCTTCGTCTCCACTGCCCACCATCAACTGCTTGCACGGCACTTCACATCCGCTATCGGCGTTTACCACCGCTGTCAACCACCAAACTCGCTCCTCCCTTCCACCTTCCCGCCCTCAACCACCAAACCCCCCCTGTCCTCCGCCCCTCCGTTTCCCCCTCCCGCCCTCCCCATCCCCTCCCCTGCCCAACCCCCCCTTTCCCCGGTCTCTATCAGGTAGTGGGAGCAGCCTCCACAGCCGTGCTCCTCTCTCAAGCATTCATTGCGGGGTTCATGCCGCCACCAGCATTCACCGCTGTGACCGACTATCTGCTGCTGGGCTGCGCAGTCACCGCCTTTCCCCGGCCCCCTTCCCTTACCCCCCTCTTATTTCTACTCCCTCTATCAGGTAGTGGGAGCAGCCTCCACGGCCATCCTCCTCTCGCAGGTCTACCTTGCGGGGTTCATGCCGCCACCAGCCTTCACCGCCGTGGCCGCCTATCTGCTGCTCGGCTGTGCCGTCAACTGCCTGCGCTTCACCCGCCACTTGCCCCAACCGCTGTGGGACACGTGGCAGGACGTGATTGGCGTTCTGGGCCTCGCCGTGCTGCCACAGGTGGGGTAGCAGTCTCTGCAGCTGCCGTCCATTGTCTGCCATCCCTTGCCTCATATCCCTTCCACCCCTACCCACTCCTCTCCATCCCTACCCACCCTTGTCCAATCCCACCCACGCACCCTTGTCCGCGCGTAACCTCTCGCTCGCCTGTCGTATTTTCCTCTCCTTTTCAATTACCGTGCACCAACAAGCCTTTCCCCACCCACTTCCCAGCCCTTCTCCTCAACCTCCTCCAACCCAGCCCCTCCGTCCACCTAATGCCCTCACCATCCTCTGCTATTCTCCATGCCCCCGCTTCCCCTCCTCCTCCCCTCCCCCTTCCCTTCCCCTCACCTCTTCCTCATTTCAACCTCATCTCCCCTCCCCATCCCCTCCCCCCTCCCTTTTCCTCACCTCCTGCCCCCTCCCCGCCCCTCCCCTGCCCTCCCCTCTTATCCCCTTCCCTGCTCTCCTCTCCCCTCTCCTTCCCCTGCCATCCCCTCCCCTCCCCCCACTGCTGCTCCCCTCTCCTTCCCCTGCCATCCCCTCCCCTCCCCCCACTGCTGCTCCCCTCTCCTTCCCCTGCCATCCCCTCCCCTCCCCCCACTGCTGCTCCCCTCTCCTTCCCCTGCCATCCCCTCCCCTCCCCCCACTGCTGCTCCCCTCTCCTTCCCCTGCCACCCCCTCCCCTCCCCCCACTGCTGCTCTCCTGCAGGTCATCTGGTCCACCTTCTCCTCTGTCAGCACGAAGCTTCCAGGAACCATCTCAGCGGTGGGCGGGCTACTGTTCATAGCGGCCATGCGGAGGGGGCTGGTGGGGCAGCCGTGGCGGGACAGGTGGCAGCTGCTGAGTGGCTGGACCGCCACGCTGCTCTTCATGGTCATGCCCGTGGCTCAGCTGCAGGTGAGATGCTTTGCACCGCACTGCACCGCACTGTACCATGCATTGATGCATGCATGAAGTGCTGTATCCGCTCCCTGATGCCACATCTCTCCTTCTGTCCTGCCCCTCTTCCTCTCCTGCCTCCCTTCCTGTCCTGCCCCTCTTCCTCTCCTGCCTGCTTTTGCTGTCCTGCCTGCCTCCCTATCGTCCATCTCTCACCCAGTTTCTCTTCTTCCTGTCTCCGCATCGTCTCTCAACCCCCTCTAGCATCTCTCCTCCCGCTGTCTCTTCTCTCATATTCCGTCTCGTTTTGTCTCTGCATCTCCCCTCCCTGCATCTCCCCTTGCTCTCTCATCGTCCCTCGCTCTGTATCTGCCCACTCTCAGTCTCTCGACCCCTCCACCTCTCGAACCCTCCTCTCCCCTCCCCCATCACCCCAGGTGTGCTTCACGCGCCCCGACCAGCTAGCAGGCATGTCAGCACTCTCCTCGCTGCTGGGCATAGTGGGCAATGGTCTCATGGTGCCGCGGGCACTTTTCACACGCGACTTCATCTGGTGAGAGTCACTTATGCTGCCCCCCTCGTGCTGCCACTCATCGTGACCCTTGCACTGCTGCTGCGCATAGTGGGCAATGGCCTCATGGTGCCGCGTCCACTTATCACACAGAGGCGACTTTATCTGGTGAGTGACATTTACAGTGCCCCTTGCATTTTGTCTAAGTCACACCATAATGGGCAATGGCCTCATGGTGCCGCGCGCACTCTTCACTCGTGATTTCATTTGGTGCGAGCCCCCTGTTCATCCTGCCTCTAATGCCCCTCATGTTGCCTCTCGTGCTGCCCCTTGCACTTCTTCTTAGTCGACCTCCCACCTCCTGCCTGACTTCCTCCACGCGCTCTCACCCATGCAATCTCCATTGCGCCACAACCTCTGCCGTTACACTCAAGTCATTCTATGGTGGCCCACATGTTGTCTCTCGCCCGTTTCATCCCACCCATCCCCGTAACGCTCGCCTCAGGTTCCTGGGTTGTTCCTGGGGCTGCATTCTCATGGGCTGGGGTGTTCTCCTCGCCATGGCCCTCCACCGCTTCTACCCGCCTCGTCTCTTCATGGCTGTCTCACTTGCGCTTATCAGCTATCTTGCTGTTGTCTTCAAATTTGATGCCGATGCCCATGGCTGCACTCCTGTGCTTGGTTCTATCTCTGGGTTGCTAAATGGTGCAGCTTGAGTTTTCTTGCGGAAGGGAATACTAGTTGATACTGCTACGATAATGTAATGCGGTAATGATCCTGTTTTAGGGCATGTAGAGTTGCAGTTAGCACTACCAACCCGTTTGCGGATTCGATTTCTTCGTTAAGCGACTTCGACGATATGACCTCCATGCTAAATCATATTCCAAGTTATCTCCTTGGCGACACACAGTCTCTCCTCAGTCACTCGCTCCACAACAATCCCCTTAGCAATCTCACTTTCATCGGCGGTAACCAGGTAACTCAAGCTCTTCGGGAGCTCGACAACGATTCGCTCGGCGTTCCCAACGATTCGCTCGGCGTTCCTCCTCAGAGACTTCCATAAACGGTAGTACATACCTTTAATCACGTGTAATTACTGGTATGTGTTTTGCTACACCATGTAAATATTTATAGAGGAAATGATTGCATTTCCATCTTCATGTAGCAAACATTACTAGGTATATCACCCATAACAGGATTGAAGAACCACTAATCCAGGAGAGGACAATACTAATGCAATGCATGCAATGCAATCCAACCATCCTCGTGCAATAAAACCTCCAACGGTGGTGGTGCTGATGCGATGGAATATGACAGGTGTTGGAAACAATCGATCTTAAGCGCCTCTGTCGTGTCGAAACACTAAGGCACAAACGAAGCGAAGCATATCGAAGCACCGGCGAGTCAACCCTCGGAGGTTGAAAAGCAACCGTTGGAGGTTACGCGAAAGCCAAAGGTCAGCGACCTTTGACCTGACAAAGTACAGCGCGACAGCAAGGACACACAACTGACTCGCTACAGAGCAGTTGCCCGAGTCGTCACTGTATCGAACCGCAACAGCAACAGTAAAACAGTTATAACTGTAACCCTTCATATTCCTTGTACTCTTATATATGTAATCTTGTATCTCTCTGTTTTAATTAATCTACTTTGCCCTCACATACTAGCGCAAGGTGGTTCAATTACTTCATTAAGGCTTCCGCTATTACATCAATCCTACCCAGAGTTCACCCCCTGCAAAGATCCTAAGGGCTTTTTCTCAGCCCAACATGGTATGAGAGCTATCAGGGGGAATTCAACTATCAAGACACCTACAACATCAACAGGCATGGCTACACAAAAGGAAAGGAGCTCCTCCAACGGCTCCCAGGGCACTACTCCTACTCCACCTCCTGCCTCTGGCCTACAGACAGAGGAGGGTACGGCAACAAGACCCAGGGCAACATCCACCGAAACTCCCGCAAACCAAGCCGCGGGCTTCGACCCAAGTATGATGGAGAAGTTCTTCTCCTTCATGTCTTTCTACGAGCAACACCAGCAATCGGCACCTGCGCAGTCACACAATAGCAACAACAACGGAGCAACTCCCATGAGTCTCGACGGCTCATCATACGCACGAGGAAATCAACAGCAGCAGCCTACCTTTGCTCCGTACGAGCGCGGGTCCATTAGCTTTATGCCACACCCGCAGCCTTCACCTGGACAAGAAAAGCCACTGGACGCATTACAAGTTCAGTCGCAATTCGCGCACGTTCTGAAGATGCAGACGTCAAGACCTTTCGATGGAAAGGATTTCTTCACCTGGTCGTTTGAATTCGAGTTAATGATGGAAGGCGCGCAGATACTTGGCTTCTTCGACGGGTCCCTGCCATACCCAACAAACGGCACACAGTATGAGAAGCAGCAGTACACCTATCAGTCGATGATGGCGTACACGATTCTACTGAGAAACATCACCCCGACTCAACAGCAGAATATACGGTCTTACCGGGGTTACGGCAACTCCGCGGAGCTCGCATACAACCACCTGAAGAGCCTGTATCAAGCAACAGACAGCGTAAATCAAAGTCGGTTGATGGCGCAACTGACAACGGTTGAAATGAAACCAGGCGAGAAAGGAATGGCGTATATCAGCCGATGCCGCGAGTTGCGCGACAAGCTTCTTCGATGCGGAGGGTCGATATCTGAAGACGCCTTCGTGACAGTTATCATTGGCGGTCTTGCTCCACACTGGCGCTCCACTCGCGCCATACTCCGAGCTCACGGAAAGATCTCCGAAGCAGCACTCTGCACCGAAATTCACGCCGAGCAGCAAGACATGGACCTGCAAGAGGAGCGGCACAAGAAGAAAACGTCAGTTCCCGAATTTGCGTTTCACACTCAACGGCGTTACAACAACAATAACAATCGGCATCAACCAAAACCCGTACCTCCGTTTTGTCATCTCTGCAAGACTTCAGGACATCCGCGCACACACTGCCCGAATCGACAACAGTCAACACCGCCACAGCGACAGCTTCGACCTTCAAGCAGCCAAGTCACTTCAACACAAGCGAACCCCACCGCTCAAGTTCAAACAACATCAACGGGACAACATGCACAAGGCGCAAGAAACATTGTCCGTTGTATGGCAAGACTGAGCGACTCCTGCATCACCGAGTCACCGCCACACTACTCACCGGAGGAGCAACTCGACAACTCCACACCTCGTCGCGAGACACTTCAACCGAACCCAACGTACGCAGCTATCGCCCAGAGTGAGCCGTCCGGGAAAGATACTTGGTTCTTGGATAGTTGCTGCGGGCAGCACATGTGCTCTTCGGGACGATTCGTTCAGCGCGAACACCAACTTCAACGCGAAGTCGTCATTACCGTCGCCAACAATCAAAACCTGCACACACGACGACAAGGCGTGGTTCAACTTCAGTCAAGGGAAACAAACGTTATACTGCAGATGTCAAAGGTCTTAATCGCGGAGGGACTCGGCTACAACTTACTGAGCGTCAGTCAGCTGATGGCGAAAGGCATCCACCTCGAAGCAGACAGCATAACACAGGAGTTCAAACTGTACCACGGGAAAGGAGGCCTTTACATCGGCAAGGCCGTGCTGAAGAACAACGTGTTCGTCCTCGACTTTCTTCCAGATCTCGGCACCGCCGACAGCGACGGAGTCGTCACCTTCACCTCCTGGACGCACCCACCGGATCTTGACCCTGACTTCAGTCCCGAAGGTTTCTGGCATTCGCACACCATCCCTGAGGCAGAACGAACAAGAGCATTAGCAACGATTCAACACCCGGCAGCAGCAGAGACAACATCGGCAGCAGCAGAGACAACACCGGCAGCAACAGAGACAACATCGGCAGCAGCAGAGACAACACCGGCAGCAGCAGAGACAACATCGGCAGCAGCAGAGACAACACCGGCAGCAGCAAAGACAACATCGGCAGCAGCAGAGACGTCATCGCCAATCGCTGGTCCTTCAACGGCACCACTCCTCGCCGACGACACACCACCGACACCCGCGCAACAACTACACCCAGCACCACGAGAAGTTCATCGAAGCGCCAACTTCACCGCCAGCTTCTATTCCAACTCCGATATGTATCGGCGCTCACCCGGACATCGCGCCACCGAAGGAACTTGGCACGCAAGAATGGGACATCCAAGCAACACGGTGTTAAACAACACGATAAGAGCAGGCGTGCTCGATAAAGACTCTCTACTCCTAAAGAGAACTTCAGCGAGCTCGAGGAACATGCTTCACCTGTCCCGAAGCTGACTTACCACATCAACCGTTCGCGTCTCACCACAACCCAAGCGCACCAGCTTACGCGCCACTCGAGAAGGTGTACAGCGACATCTTGTACAACCGCGAGCCTGGACAAAACGCGTACAACTACACCATCACCTTCATCGACGCCGCCACACGATACGTCAAGCATCTAAACCTTCCGAGCAAAGACATGGCCCTCGAAGCCTTCGTCGCGTGGCTCCCAGTAGCAGAGCGAGAATCGGGCGTCAAACTGAAGAGCTTCCAGTCAGACGGGGGAGGAGAATACACCTCACAAAGGTTCAAGCAGTACTTGGCTGAAAGAGGAATCAAGCGTCTCATCTCCCTTCCCTACGCCCATCAACAGCAAGGAGTAGCAGAGAGGATGAACAGGACCCTCCAGAACACCATGCGCAAGCTGCTACGTGGCATGCACCTGCCCAACCACCAGTGGCCCGAAGCAATGGACCACGCCGTCATGCTGCACAACTTACTCTCGTCATCATCGCTCCCGAACAACGCATCACCGCACCTGCTGTGGACAGGAAAGCAGGGCAGCACAAAAATGTTAAGAGTCTTCGGCTGCATGGTACAGTACCGGCCCCCATCTGCACGAGCCGGCCGATTCTCTCAACGCGCACAGTGGGGGCTACACCTGGGCATTGAAAAGCATTACAACGCATGGAAAATTTTCGACGTCGAGACAAAAGAGACAGTGGCAGCACGTGACGTCATTTTCTACGAAAACCTCACCCTCCGGTATTACCTTGCCAACTTGCAAGAAGAAAACCCCGATCGCTCCGCTGGTTTTCAAGGCACCCGAGCCTTCGCCTCGGCAGACGACGAAGCTGACTGGGACGAGCAGAACGTGGAAGGAGCCTCGGAAGAAGCCGGACCCCTCCCCTACTGCTCCGTCGACGTGCCAATAGACGACGAAAACCCACGCGAAAGCATCAACGCCGTCGCCTACTACCATTTCGCTGACAACGGTTACGTTACACCTGCACAAGTCAACACCGACGAAGCAGAACGCGTAGGACCAAATTTCAACCGAACACCAGAAGCGGGAGATGAAGCAGTTTATCCCGAGGATACCTCACTCCCCCGCTACACACAGAGCGGACTCCAGATTCTCGGTCTCGTCACCTTGGTTCACGGCACGGCGATTCCTAGGGAGCCTGCCACAGTTCAGCAGGCTCTGGGGGGGGAGCATAGGGAAAATGGCGCGAAGCCATGGACAAGGAGCTGAAAGCACTGGAGGAACGCAATACCTGGAAGGTCGTACCCATTGGAGCGGCACGGAACAAGACGATTCTCACCGGAAAGTGGGTCTTCCGTGTGAAGACAAAGGCGGACGGCACCATCGACAAATTCAAAGCACGCTGGGTCGTACGCGGCTTCGACCAAGAACACGGGCGTGACTTCACTGAGACGTTCGCACCAGTCAGCCGACACACGTCATTACGAATTCTTCTCGCGATCGCCGCCATGAAGAAGAAGAAGCTGCGACAAATCGACGTCGCGAACGCATTCCTCTACGCACTTGTTGACGCAGAAATCTTCGTCGAATTACCGCACGGCTCCAACGGTGAGCCCAATCAAATCTGTCAGCTGCTGAAGTCGCTCTACGACATCAAGCAAGCTCCGCGGCTATGGCAACAATACCTGCACGCTCGCCTCATTCGCATCGGCTTCAAACAACTACCGCATGATCAGGGCATGTACCGGCTCACGAAGAACACCGACTACATCCTGTTAATCGTCTACGTAGACGATCTACTCTACATCGGCTCGACCGACGGCATCACAACCTGGTTCGAAGGGGAGCTACAGAAGGACCTCACGCTCACGGTCTCATCTACCGTCACACAGTACCTCGGTCTCAACATCCGAGAAGAGGAAGACGTGATCCACCTCAGTGCCGCGAAATACGCAGACACCATCACCAAGCGCTTCGCACTCACACCGACCGCCATCTCCACACCGTACCGCTACACGACAGGAAGCAGCAAAGGAAGCTCCGCTCTACTTAAGCCCGCCGGCATACGCGACTACCCTAGGAAACTGGGATGCCTTCTTTTCGCAGCTGTCACCTGCCGCCCGGACCTATCGTATTCTGCAAGTCAGCTCGCCACCTACCTCAAGAGGCCTGAAGCGGAACATCTAGCAGAACTCGACCGCGCTCTTCACTACCTCGTCAGCACCCCGACGATCGGCCTAACTTACTACAAGAACGCAACTACACCGCCTAAGTTAATCGGCTACGTCGACGCCGATCACGCTGGCGACTCCGACAACAGGCGCTCCCGCACCGGTTACATCTACCGCCTCGAACCTATCGGACCTATCTCATGGCAGTCGAGCAAGCAGGAATTAATCGCCCTCTCGTCAGCTGAAGCAGAATATATTGCACTTTGTTCAGCCACCAAGGAAGGACTTTACCTTCGCGAACTGCTGGAAGAAGCGAAGCTGGCTCAGTTACCCAGCTTCACTCTGTTCTGCGACAACCAGTCGGCAATTCGCATCGCCAACAAGAACGGCTTCGCGAACAGGACGAAACACATCGCCCTGCGATATTTCTTCGTGAAGGACGAGATCGAGAAAGGAAGGCTCGAGCTGTCATACTGCCCCACGTCCGAGATGGTAGCTGACAACTTGACCAAGAAGCTCGGAAAGCAGAAGTTCGAGTACTGCATGCTGCTGACTGGACAGAGCCACGTCACCAGCAGCGACACTCCAGAAGCGAAGGGGAGTGTTGGAAACAATCGATCTTAAGCGCCTCTGTCGTGTCGAAACACTAAGGCACAAACGAAGCGAAGCATATCGAAGCACCGGCGAGTCAACCCTCGGAGGTTGAAAAGCAACCGTTGGAGGTTACGCGAAAGCCAAAGGTCAGCGACCTTTGACCTGACAAAGTACAGCGCGACAGCAAGGACACACAACTGACTCGCTACAGAGCAGTTGCCCGAGTCGTCACTGTATCGAACCGCAACAGCAACAGTAAAACAGTTATAACTGTAACCCTTCATATTCCTTGTACTCGTATATATAATCTTGTATCTCTCTGTTTTAATTAATCTACTTTGCCCTCACATACTAGCGCAAGGTGGTTCAATTACTTCATTAAGGCTTCCGCTATTACATCAATCCTACCCAGAGTTCACCCCCTGCAAAGATCCTAAGGGCTTTTTCTCAGCCCAACAACAGGAACATGAAAGCTACACTACACAACTTGAGCAGACCTATAGGGAGTCAGGCACTGTAAAGGGGATATGAAAAAAGTGGAGGAGGCTTGTGGCCTTGGCGCCTCAGAAATTGTGTCATCTCAGGAGTGGTGAGTCACGATGCGGTGAGGTTGAGATGGGTCATGTCATAAGTGGTGGGTGAAGATGCAGGGATGTTAACATGACACGTGTCATTTTATGAGTGGTGGGTGAAGATGCGCAGGTGGTTGTCGGCTCCCCCACTGACCACAGCGTTGCCGCCCTGCCACCAGTCAGCACACAGCACCTGCCCACCCCAAAGGTGCATACAATTCATTGTATCAAAACAAGGCATCAGGGGTAAGGACATGTGTGCAAGGGGCAGTGACATGACATGTGTGTATGACAAGGCACGTTTGTGTGCTATCTGGGTGCAGTAAGGCACATGTGCGTGAAAAGGCCACGCATGCAGTAAAAGCCATCCACAGCGCATGAAGGTATCACGTGCATAACCCATGAACGGATGGATTTGATGTGTCAAGTGATCAATGGTCACTCCATCCATGCAAGGTGCGGAATGGCGGACTTCTTCTTATATATATATATATGTATATATATATATATATTACTACTAAATCACTCTGTGTGTGCATATTTCGAAATGGCAGATGGAGCTGCTGGAAGGGCGTTGCCAGCGTCCTTGGCCAGCACGTATACATTGGCACTCAATGTGTTGATGACATGACAACATGATGACGTGGCATGCACAGACGAGCGAAAGGCATGGAAGACACTAGCGCATGCAGGCGTGAAGGCGTGAAGGCATGAGGGCATGAAGGCATGGAAACAAAGCAGACATGACATGATGGCATGAAGGCTTTAGCCGTACCTTATCCGAGTGAGCTTTGACCGTGTGAAGCGGCACCTGAACGTTTGGAAGAGAGGCATGGGGGTGAGAGACATGCTGAGTTAGAAGCAGGATGGCAGCATGTGGGGCCCATGGCTGCACTCACACGAGCCTGTGCACTTGCACTTTGAAACACACATAACTGGCACGAAATGGTCCGGACTGGGAGAGAGTACGGCGAACCATGCACGAGCATTGGCAATGGTGCCGACGATACACATGAGTGCGTTGTGGAATTGTACAGCGCCTTGGAAGCGATGTAAGAGCTTTCTGAAAGTTATTAAAAAGCTTTCAAGTTGCGCCTCACAACATGAGACTGGTAACATGCACCCCTTGGGCTGCATGCATGTACACAACAGAGAGTACACAACAGAGCGTACACATGCAGCCCAAGGGGTGAAGCAACTTCATGGGGCATGGGGAGCATAAGGGAGGGGGGACGAGGGGACAGGGGAGTGGTGACATACAGTGGAGCGAAGATCCCAGATCTTGAGCGAACCATCGTAGGAAGAGGAGAGGAGAGGGTTGGATGGGGACCTGGAGGGGAGAGGAGGCAAGGCAGTGTGATAAGGGATAATTATGGAGAACAAGTAGGACAGAAACAAGTGAGGCAAGCATGGAAACGAAGGGAATGAAACCAGTGTAGGCATGAGCTTATTGACACCATAACAACCCATTCACAACCATTTTTGTTTGTGGAATTGGACAGCAGTCAACTGCCATGTCAACTGCTATGTCAACTGCCATGTCAACTGCCATGTCAACTGCCATGTCAACTGCCATGTCAACTGCCATGTCAACTGCCATGTCAACTGCCATGTCAGCAACTCAGACATTCTCTAGCATGGAAGAACTTCACCCACATTGCTGCTCGCTAACATGGATGGATGGTTCCACCAACCTCCGTTTCCAGGAAAAGACGAACGAACCAGCAGCAGCAGTAGTGAGCGTTGTCTAATTAAAGAAGAATGTATGCACATGGTAGTATTGCACACACACTATGAGTGCTCTTGGCCCCACGTTACCATGCGAGGGAGGAGATCCAATCCTAACCACACGTTACCATGCGAGGGAGGAGATCCAATCCTAACCACACGTTACCATGCGAGGGAGGAGATCCAATCCTAACCACACGTTACCATGCGAGGGAGGAGATCCAATCCGTGTGACCCAGCAGCTGGATCGATGGAGAGAGCACGGCTGGAGAGGGGGGTTTGAAAAGGGAGGAGGGAGGAGGGATGAGGGAGGAGGGAGGAGGGATGAGGGATGAGGGATGGGAGGTGGGATGAGGGATGAGGGATGAGGGAGGAGGGATGAGGGATGAGGGAGGAGGGATGAGGGATGATGGAGGGATGAGGGATGAGGGAGGAGGGAGGAGGGAGGAGGGAGGAGGGAGGAGGGATGAGGGAGGAGGGATGAGGGAGGAGGGATGAGGGAGGAGGGAGGAGGGAGGAGGGAGGAGGGATGAGGGAGGAGGGATGAGGGAGGTGGGAGTTGGGAGGAGGGGAGAGCGGCTCTAGGAAGTGTCACTTGCATAACAGTTGCTCACAAGGGGAAGGGGGAAGGGGAGGGTATGATGGAGGGTATGGTGAAGACGAGGAGGGGGTATGTGCTTGGAAGATGGAAACACAAGGGTGGGATGTGAACAGATAAGAACGAATTGTCCCTTCAAATGACACCCACACTTCACCCTTGCCCAACCCTCACACCCTTGTCCAACCCTCACCTCACACCCTTGCCCAACCCTCACACCCTCACAGCACACTCACACGTGGCAGCGCGCATGTCCCACAGCAGGATGGTAGGGTGAGCACCCTCACTGGGGAAAGAGCACATGTTCCCACGACAACCATCCCTCCTCCCTCCTCCCTCCTCCCTCCTCCTCCTCCTCCTCCCTCCTCCCTCCTCCCTCCTCCCTCCTCCCTCCTCCCTCCTCCCTCCTCCCTCCTCCCTCCTCCCTCCTCCCTCCTCCCTCCTCCCTCCTCCCTCCTCCCTCCTCCCTCCTCCCTCCTCCCTCCTCCCTCCTCCCTCCTCCCTCCTCCCTCCTCCCTCCTCCCTCCTCCCTCCTCCCTCCTCCCTCCTCCCTCCTCCCTCCTCCCTCCTCCCTCCTCCCTCCTCCCTCCTCCCTCCTCCCTCCTCCCTCCTCCCTCCTCCCTCCTCCCTCCTCCCTCCTCCCTCCTCCCTCCTCCCTCCTCCCTCCTCCCTCCTCCCTCCTCCCTCCTCCCTCCTCCCTCCTCCCTCCTCCCTCCTCCCTCCTCCCTCCTCCCTCCTCCCTCCTCCCTCCTCCCTCCTCCCTCCTCCCTCCTCCCTCCTCCCTCCTCCCTCCTCCCTCCTCCCTCCTCCCTCCTCCCTCCTCCCTCCTCCCTCCTCCCTCCTCCCTCCTCCCTCCTCCCTCCTCCCTCCTCCCTCCTCCCTCCTCCCTCCCCCACATGGCCTGGCCCGTACACCACTCATACCCTCACAGCAAGCCACCACACTCACACGTGGCAGCGCGCATGTCCCAGAGCAGCATGGTGGGGTGCGCGCCCCCCACTGCCACCAGCGACGCCATCCCGCCCCCCCCTGCTGCCACCACCAGCAGCGGATGCGCGCTTGTCTGAAGTGAGAAGGGGGAAACGGGGGGGGGGTTGCATGGATCACACCAGAGCCCATAGGAAGGGCAGCGATTCGTGTTTTAAGTCGACTCAAAACAGGGGGAAACGGGAGGGTTGCATGGATCACACTAGAGCCCATAGGAAGGGCAGCGATCGCACATGCCATGGTTATGTATGCGTGTGCATGGACACTGAGGCAGAAACAGCAACCACATCCCACGAGTGACGAGTGTGCATGGTTGCCCTACAGCCACACTATTGAAAGAGGCCATGGTGCATGGCATGGCACTGCACATACGCGCCATGCATGGCATGGCATGGCATGGCATGGCTGGTACCCACCCGCATGGTGACAGCAGAAGCAGCCTCCACGACCCACGACAGGCAGAAAAAAATGTGAATGGTTTCCTTGTATCCACACAACTGACACAGCCCATGGTGATGCACATACCTGCACAGTCACTGCAGCAGCAGCCTCCATATCCCACGAGCCGTGATGCCACGACACAGAGAAGAGCACAGAGTGAATGTTGACGCACACACTTTACGTACCCAGGCTACCCCACAAACCACATACACCACATACCCACAGACGCACACCACGCACCCGCACAGACACAGCAGAAGCAGCTTCGACGTCCCAGGAACGCAGGGAGTGGTCTCATGAGACAGAGAAGAGTATCGAGTGAATGCTGGTGCATGCATTATACCTACCCAGGTAACCCCCCCACCCCACAGACCACGCACACCACGCACCCGAACAGACACAGCAGAAGCAGCGTCCACGTCCCATGCGCGCAGCGAGTGGTCCCATGAGACGGAGAAGAGCGAGGAGCCCTGCGCCGGCCATGCCACGCCCGCCACGCACTGCGTGTGCGCGTCTAGGGAGAGGTCTGGGGTGAGCTGGCGAGATGAGGAGGGGAGAGAAGGTGAAGGGCGAGGAGGGGGTTGGGGAGGGAAGGGGAAGGGGAGAGAGGGAGGAAGGGGAGAAAAGAGTGAGGCGAAGCAGAGTTGTGACGAGGTCAGCTCCTCTTCCATGCCAGGCCCGCCACGCACTGACTTTTGAGTCGACTCTAAAGTCACTCCGGCCATGCCACGCCCGCCACGCACTGAGTGTGCGCGTCTAGAGAGAGGTCTGGGGTGAGCAGGCGAGGTGCGGACGGGGAAGGGGAGAAACGGAATTGTGAGGAGAAAGTCTGGCCAGGCCCGCCACGCACTGTGCGTGCGCCTCTAAAGAGAGGTCTGGGGTGAGCTGGACGGAAGGAGCGGGTACGAATGGCGGAGGGAAAAATGAGTGAGGAGAAGGAGAAATGCAATGAGCTCTGCAGCGGCCATGCCAGGCCGGCTACGCACTGCGTGTGCACTCTTAGTGAGAGATCTGGGGTGAGCTGGCGGGGTGGGGAGGGGGAAGTGGAGAAGCAGATTTGTGAGGAGAAAAACTTATGTGCAATGCCATGCCAGGCCTGCCACGCACCACGTGTGCGCCTTTGGGGTGAGGCCCGAGGCGAATGGAGAGAGGGGAAGGGAGAGAGGGAGAGAGGCAACAAAATGGAGTGAGGGGAAGCAGAGTTGCACAGAGCAAGCCATGCCACGCCCGCCTCGCATTTTGTGTGCGCTTCTGAAGAGAGGTCCAGTCCGGGGTTAGCTGGTGAGATGGGGGGGAGCAGGAGGGGGGGAGACAGGAGGGAGGGGAGAGGGGAGAGGGGAGAGAGGTAGAGAGAGCGGCTGAGGAGGATGAGGCAGAATGAGGAGCGAAGGAATGAAGCAAGCCGGGGCAAGACCATGCTGCAGGCAGCACATACAAGAACTGGCTTCGAAAAAAATGACCCATGCAGCATGCCGCAATCAGCAAGGAGCAAGCAGAAAGCAGCAAAGGGCAGACAGCATTAGGAAAATGAACAGTCAGCAGTCCCTGATGCGAATAGAAGGCAAGGCGCATGGGTGTACCTCCACACCCTCTGCCTCCACAGCCCCTGCAGCAAGCAGCAGGCAGCAGGCAGCAACCAGCTAAAAACACACACACACAAAATAGTCACCAACGACAATGGAAGGCAAGGAGCATGGGTATACGCACCTCCAAGCCCTCTGCCTCAACTGCCCCTGCAGCCGTCCGCACTCGCTTCCGTGCTTGCCCCACTCCCTCCACCCCTCCCGCTTCCCCCCCCTCCTCCTCCCCCTCTCCTCCCGCGTCCTCCCCCATTCCCCCACTCCCATCGCCACCTGCGCTTCCGTCCCCTCCTCCCCCCCCTCCCCCTCCCCGCCTTCCTGCATTGGCTCCCAGCTTGGGCAGCGACCAGAGCTTGATGGTGCTGTCCCAGCCGCCTGATGCCAGCTGTGGTGGGGGGAGAGGGAAGCAGGAGAGGAGCGAGGGAAGAGAAGAGAGCCTGGGGAGAGAGTGGGATTAGAACGGGCGGATAGAGGAGGTAGAGTCCAGAGCTTGATGGAGCTGTCCCAGCCGCCTGATGCCAGCTGTGGTGGGGGGAGAGAGTAGAGGGGATACAGTGAGAGAAGGTAGGGGAGGGGAGGGGAGAGGAGGCAGCGACCTGACCAGAGCTTGATGGAGCTGTCCCAGCCGCCTGATGCCAGCTGTGGTGGGGGGAGAGAGTAGAGGGGATACAGTGAGAGAAGGTAGGGGAGGGGAGGGGAGAGGAGGCAGCGACCTGACCAGAGCTTGATGGAGCTGTCCCAGCCGCCTGATGCCAGCTGTGGTGGGGGGAGAGAGTAGAGGGGATACAGTGAGAGAAGGTAGGGGAGGGGAGGGGAGAGGAGGCAGCGACCTGACCAGAGCTTGATGGAGCTGTCCCAGCCGCCTGATGCCAGCTGTGGTGGGGGGAGAGGGCAGGGCAGAGGGAGGGGAGGGGGGAGAGAGGGAAAGGCAGGAGAGAGTGGGATTAAATGGGGCGGATAGAGGAGGCAGCGACCAGAGCTTGATGGTGCTGTGATGTCCTAGCCACGTGATGCCAGCTGGGGTGGGAAGACGAGGGAAGAGAGGGGTAAGAGTGGCAGGCAGAGGGGAGAGAGAAAGGAGAGTGAGTGAATTATCCGGGACACCTTCGCCACTTGTCTCCTGCGCTTGGCTCGGGATCCTGACTCCCTCCAAGCCTGGACCCTCCTCCTTTTCCTCCCACGTCTGACACTCTGTGCCAGCTCAACCCGCAAACCTGATTGGGCCGCAATATCTGCACGCCTGCTCCTTTTTCGGCAAGGGAGGTGGGCGAACTTTACTCCAATGCCTGCGACGCGATCAACCTCCCACCTGGACCCAGACACGCACCTGATGACGCGGGGAAACTGGCGAGGGCGGCGGGGTTGGCGAAAAAGGGAAGCCTGGCCAAGGCCCTGGAAAGTACACCTGTGAGCCCCAACTCACCTGAAATTCTCAAGGCCCTACGCCTGCGCCACCCCCTGAGCACAACAGAACCACCCCAATGGCTCGACACCCACTCCATCCCCTCTGCGCCAGCAATCACGCTGAGGGACTTGCGGCGAATTCTCGCGACATGCAAGAACGGAGTAGGGGCAGGTCCCAGTGGAATGACATTCGAACACGTGAGAAACGCAGCCACCCGCCACCCCGACGTGGCTGAACACCTGCTGGCCTTGATCAACACGGCGCTCGCAGGCAAGCTATCCAAGGAAACAGCGAGGCTCCTCACCGCCTCCAGACTTCTAGCTTTTTCAAAACCCGAGGGCGGAACCCGCCCCATAGCGGTGGGCGAGGTGATCCACCGCGTCATCGCCAAGGCGGCACTCCTCCTCGCCGCGCCCTTCGCCTGCCGCCACTTCGCCCCCATCCAGTACGGTGATGCCACGCCTGGCGGTGCGGAGGCGATTATTCATGCCACACGCACCTACCTCGAGGAAAACGCCAGCCATCTCGCCCTCCAAATCGACATCACAAACGCCTTCAACGCGGTGGAGAGGGGAGCTGTCTTGGAGGGCCGCCGGGACTCACCTCTGGAGTTCCTCGTCCCCTTCACAAGAAGCTCCTATGGCGCCCCTTCCGAACTCATCATCGACCCTTCAACGACGACAACCTCTGTTCTTCAAGAGGGGTGCGCCAAGGGGACCCAATGGCCCCCCTCCTCTTCGCCGCCGCAATCCACCCTGCTCTAAAGGCAGTGGTCGCCGCTCACCCAGCAGTCGTCGTGCTCGCCTACGCCGACGATATCACGCTGCTCGGCCCAGGACCCGACTGCACCGACGCCTTCAACAGCCTCACCGCGGCCCTCTCTCCGCTCGGCCTCCGCCACAACGCCGCCAAGTGGGCGGCTTGGTCCCCCACCACACCTCGGCCCCAACACCTTCCCCCAGGCGACTTTTGAGTCGACTCAAAAGTCAACTCTTTTGAGTCGACTCAAACGCCAAGTGGGCGGCTTGGTCCCCCACCACACCTCGGCCCCAACACCTTCCCCCAGGCGACTTTTGAGTCGACTCAAAAGTCAACTCTTTTGAGTCGACTCAAACGCCAAGTGGGCGGCTTGGTCCCCCACCACACCTCGGCCCCAACACCTTCCCCCAGGAACTAGCAAAACTTCAGCACTCCCTCTCCCTCCACGTCCACGCAGCCAGGGCCACGATGCAGCTGCAGGAGAGCAGGAGGATGGCGCTGAACCCTCTGCTCGGTCACACACAGAGACTGCAATCCCTCATCGGGCCGGGGGCAGGGGACTGGCTCATGTCCTTGCCGATCGCCAAACCCCACCACCTACCGTCCCACCACTTCACGCCAATGGCTGCCTTCCGCCTCGGCCTGCCACAGCTCGTCCCGGGCTGCTGTGACTGCAACAAACAGGTGGAGATACCGGACCCGCGCCTGCCAAACCACCTACTGCGGTGCGGAACGGGGAAGGGACGAACAGGGACTCACCATGCGCTCAGGGATGAGTGCGAGCGGATTGCGGCGGAGTCGGGCTTCGCGGTTCAAAAGGAAACAACACTCTACACGCCGGTGGAGGGCCTCAAGGCGGACCTCGCAATCCGCCACCCAGATTCAGGGGTGGTGTGGCTCATGGACGTAACGGTGACCGACCCCATCTCCACACAGGACGAGACAGCTCAGCGGGGTGTGGGGTGGGCTGCTCGGGTGGCAGCAAGGGCAAAGAAGTATAAATACCGCAACAGGCAGTTATGGGTGGCGTTTATTGCAATGGCAGTAGAGACTTACGGGTGCTGCTCCCCCGGGGTATTCGAATTCATGCGCCTTTGCGCAAATCTGGCGGCAAAAAGGCTCCACAACGCTGAGCCTACCTCACGGGAGGCGCTGAAGCTGTTTCATTCTTACCGACAGTGGTGGTCGATCGCACTGCAGAGGGGCCAAGCAAATGCCCTCTGCGCCAAGACCCTAAAGGCCTTTGAGGCCGAGGCTCCCACATCTGCCCACCAGGACGAGCCCCTCGACACGGAAGACATTCTGCACATCCTCGAGCTGGACTTTGAGCTGCCTTAGGCAGCCCCATTGCATGCCTGTACCTGATTCTCTAAACTAGCTCGTTGTATTGCATGTTATCACAATGAAGGACCATTCGAGAGGAGAGGAGGCAGCGAGCAAAGCTTGATGGTGCTGTGCTGTGCTGTACTGTGCCAGCCGCATGGAAAAGCAAATCGAAGACTTACATTCAACTAGAACAGAGAAGGTTGTATGAAGAAAACATAATTTCGGTCAGAAAGCCAGACACAAAAGGTCAAAAAGTCGTGTATGAAAGCGTTCAGGACAGAAAAGGCCACATATGAACGCGTGTATGGACTCTGTCAGAAGAACCACACGATGCATGGGCATATGAAGGCACACAGCTTTCTTAAGCGTGTAGCAAGGTGTGTGAAGGCGTGTGTGTGTGACATACTTTATGCGTGCGTTCAAGCATGTTTCTGGGTGTCTCTCCTACGTTATTGGTACGTGCGTTGACAGTAGTGCACTGCACAGCCGTCAAGTGGCCTCCCGTCACACACAGCCTCTGCCATGGATCCATCCATCCATTTATGGCAGCAGCGCATCAAATCAAGCACCACATACATGTGTATGTGCACATCAAGCACCACATGTGTATGTGTGAAAGAGGATGTGTGTAACCATGACCGTACCTTATTAGCACGTGCGTTCACAGCAGCGCACTGCACGGCAGCCGTGTGGCCTCACATCACTGTCACCACCGATGCGCGCAGCGAGGGAGGGGCGGTGGGCGCCTCGGTGCTGTCTGCTGCCAGCTGGCAGCGAGGAAGGGAGGGAGAGAGAGCGGGGGAGGGAGGGAGAGCGGAGAGGGAGGGGAAGGGGCAGAGGTAAGATTTTGTAGTCGACTCAAAAGTCACCGCAGCGAGGGAGGGGCGGTGGTAGCCTCCTGCGAGCTGGCAGAGGAAGGGAGAGAGAAAGAGCGGGGGAAGGAAGGAGTGGGAGAGGCAGACGTAAGAAGAGGGACAGTCGGGGAGGCGGCCGGCCAGACGAGGCGGTGAGGGAGGTGAGCTGTTGTGGCTTCCACCTGGCAACGGTCACATTTGAAGGCTCAGATTTGAGGATTCACATTTGAGGGTTCTCATTGAAATGGTACAAGAAAAATCGCACCACAGCAAGGCACTCATGCACCCACCTGCCAGAGGCACAGCGTGCAGTCCTTTCCTTCAAAGACGACACAAAAACGCTGGCTGCTGTCATCGGTTGAGAAGGATAAGAGGAAGGGAGTAGCGCGGGAGGGGAGTGGGGGAGAGGAGAAGAGGAGGAGAGGAGTGGGGGAGAGGAGAAGAGGGGGAGGGGAGTTGGGGAGAGGAGAAGAGGGGGAGGGGAGGCACCCACCTGCCAGAGGCGTAGCGTGCGGTCCTTGGAAGCCGACACAAAGGCGCTGCCTGCTGCCGTGGGTTGTCAGGGAAAAGGAGGAATGGGGGAGAGGGGGAGAGGAGAGGAAGGGCAGTATGATGGCAGTATGATGGCAGTATGATGGCAGTATGATGGCAGTATGATGGCAGTATGATGGCAGTATGATGGCAGTATGATGGCAGTATGATGGCAGTATGATGGCAGTATGATGGCAGTATGATGGCAGTATGATGGCAGTATGATGGCAGTATGATGGCAGTATGATGGCAGTATGATGGCAGTATGATGGCAGTATGATGGCAGTATGATGGCAGTATGATGGCAGTATGATGGCAGTATGATGGCAGTATGATGGCAGTATGATGGCAGTATGATGGCAGCATGATGGCAGCATGATGGCAGTATGATGGCAGCATGATGGCAGCATGATGGCAGCATGATGGCAGCATGATGGCAGCATGATGGCAGCATGATGGCAGCATGATGGCAGCATGATGGCAGCATGATGGCAGCATGATGGCAGCATGATGGCAGCATGATGGCAGCATGATGGCAGCATGATGGCAGCATGATGGCAGCATGATGGCAGCATGATGGCAGCATGATGGCAGCATGATGGCAGCATGATGGCAGCATGATGGCAGCATGATGGCAGCATGATGGCAGCATGATGGCAGCATGATGGCAGCATGATGGCAGCATGATGGCAGCATGATGGCAGCATGATGGCAGTATGATGGCAGTATGATGGCAGTATGATGGCAGTATGATGGCAGTATGATGGCAGTATGATGGCAGCATGATGGCAGCATGATGGCAGCATGATGGCAGCATGATGGCAGCATGATGGCAGCATGATGGCAGCATGATGGCAGCATGATGGCAGCATGATGGCAGCATGATGGCAGCATGATGGCAGCATGATGGCAGCATGATGGCAGCATGATGGCAGCATGATGGCAGCATGATGGCAGCATGATGGCAGCATGATGGCAGCATGATGGCAGCATGATGGCAGCATGATGGCAGCATGATGGCAGCATGATGGCAGCATGATGGCAGCATGATGGCAGCATGATGGCAGCATGATGGCAGCATGATGGCAGCATGATGGCAGCATGATGGCAGCATGATGGCAGCATGATGGCAGCATGATGGCAGCATGATGGCAGCATGATGGCAGTATGATGGCAGTATGATGGCAGTATGATGGCAGTATGATGGCAGTATGATGGCAGTATGATGGCAGTATGATGGCAGTATGATGGCAGTATGATGGCAGTATGATGGCAGTATGATGGCAGTATGATGGCAGTATGATGGCAGTATGATGGCAGTATGATGGCAGTATGATGGCAGTATGATGGCAGTATGATGGCAGTATGATGGCAGTATGATGGCAGTATGATGGCAGTATGATGGCAGTATGATGGCAGTATGATGGCAGCATGATGGCAGCATGATGGCAGCATGATGGCAGTATGATGGCAGTATGATGGCAGCTACCGGCGCCATTTTATGGGGAGGGGATTACGTGGCGAGAGTGAAATACTGAGTGCCGTAGCGCAGTGGGAGATGCGGAACAGAGACGAAGCTAGGATGGTATTGAAGGTTTGGGAGGGCGAAAGCGTTTAGAGAGGGCGCGCTAAGAGGATGAATATTTGTAAGTTGGAAGTAACATGTAAAAGAAGCATAGTTGAATGAGCTTGAGGAAAAATGCGTGAGCCTGGTATTTCCGGCATGGCACTAGCAGTACCTATTTATTGACACCTAATATTCTGACTCTGTGATTTACCGGTACTGCAAAAAAACTACCATATAAAAAACATAAATGTACGCAGGGCACCTTGGAAGCATGGCCCAGTTTATATGTTAAAGTAACCAAGGAATCAGTTGGATAAGATAAGGTGACGAGTTTTTAATACAGCGGAAGACTTGAGAAAAAAATGTCAGAATGTGCATTGAATGAGGAAGGATAGGTACAAATAGGCAACCCTAACTCTAGGCTACCAAATGTAACACCTACGTAAGTGTAACGGGGGGTGGACAATGCGTGGCATGCAAGAAGCAACTCAGGGCGGCACTACTAAACACCTCTGCCGCAAGTGGTCACAAGACTAGTCAACAAGGTCAGCAGGCAAAGCCCTGAGCAGCCATGGCACCAGCGTAGATATCTGCTCAACGTTGGACGAAGCAATAGATGACGTGCGCCTCGACCTCCTGAGACGACCTGCGAGTTTCCTCGTCGTCTTCCTACGACGCATCAGTGTGCCCGGTAAGTCAAACGGGCTGTCGTCCACCAAGCACAAGCCCCATGCCTGATGTGCCCGCCAAGTAAAGCGCTACCCTCTTAGCAGTTGCCTGGTGCGGAGAGTCACCCTACACCGGGAGCTGGACTATGGGGGAAAGCATGGGTGGAGCGAGTGATCGTAGCGTTTGCTTGTGTTCGCGGAGAAAGTTGGCAATAGTTCAACTAGCAAAAGTTGAATACCGTATCGAATTACGCAAAGGCAATGGCAACAACGACTACATCAGAGGCCTTGCAACTTAGCACACAGGCAGGTTGACCTCCAGCGCAGCACGGGGGCGGCATGCCAGGACTGCAAGTCGGCACCGTGCCAGCGTGGCTGGGATGCCGCTTGCCAGCATTGCAAATCAGCGACATGCCAGTGCTGAACCAGGGCGGCTTGCCAACGCTACAGTGAGGCGGCTTGCCAGCGTTAAAAGTGCAGGTGGCTGCAAGCATATGTGCGGGCACCTACTTCGTAGGTGCTTGTAGATGTTGAGCACGTTGTGTGCCATCACGCATATTGCGCAGGTGCCAAATCGGCCACATGCCGACAGGATACCAGCCTGCAAACCGACTTCGCCAAAACCTCATGGGCGGCGTCTGCGCACCCCTGCATAACAGTGTCGACCAGGTAATGTCCCCAGCGCCCACAAGTCGGCGCGTGACTTACCCTCGTCATTGGCTTTGCAGCGGTGCCACGGAAGTCGACCAAGCGTGGCGAGGTCGCAGCAAAGTGAGCCATAATGCTGAGAGGATATGCTATGTATGGATGAGAAAAAGTTATTAGGTACATGAGGCAACCCACAATCTCTGCGTTTGGACCACTAGGCTCAGCCAGCTCAACTGGAACATGAGTCGTGAGCTTATGGTCAAGAGCGAGAGGAGTGGGCTGTGCAGAGGGGAACTGAAAGTTGAAGCGCTGAAGGACCTGTTGCACCATGTGCGTTTGGGTTAGAGAAATGGTGCGTGCTGCTCTGTCTCTGGTAATATACAAGCCAATATAGTTGCGCAGCTCACCCAAGTTAGTGCAAGTGTGTCTCTTCAGCCATTCGGCCTTCATTGAAGCCAGAGCAAGCCCGTGTGCAGTAACAAAGACCAAGTCGTCGACGTTAACAAAGATAAATAACGGCATCCGTCCCGTGTGAACAAAGAGAGAAGGGTCAATAGAGGACGGGAAGAAGTCGAAGTCAGCAAGATTGGTACGCAGTGTGTCATTCCACTCTCGGGGAGCTTGGCGTCGACCATAGAGAGGTCTACAAAGGCTCCACCTGGTCCCACGAGGGAAAGAGCCAGTGAAGCTTGGAGGACGGAGGATCCATATCTGCTCGTGCAGGCTGCCTGGAGGAAGGTAGTAGATAATTCTAGTGAGTGCAGCTCGTAGTCTCGCTTTGCACCGACGCGCAGTAGTATCCGAAAAGTAGTCTTCTTCGGGGTGGGGGAGTGCGGAGAGTCACTACACAACGGGAGTGGACTACGGTGGAGGGCACGGGGTTGTGCGAGTGATCGTAGCTTGCACTTAACGTTCTTACTTCTTGCTTGTGTTCACAGAGAAGTTTGGCAAGAATTCCACTAAGGAAGTTGAAAGAACAACTTGCATTGAAAAGTTGATAGTACAATTGAGGCATGCAGAACAAGAGGACTAGAATGGCATGCAACACCTAGCAAGGGCGAAATCTGCCAGCGCAGCAGAAGAGCAGCTTGCCAACACTGCAGCAGAGTTGTCTGCCAGCGTTGCACTACGCGCGGTCTGCCAGCACTGAAGTCGCAGGTGACTATCTGCAGTCGCAGGTAACTATCTGCTGTCGAATGTTGTCTATCTGCGCAGATCTGCGCACCTACCAAGTAGGTGCAGGTTGGCGGTTTCACAGTCAGGCACATTGCGCAGGTGCCAGGTAGAAAACGTGTCGTCGGTTTCGCCAGGTGCACACCGTCGACCACGTGATGCCATTCCGCAGGTAGAACTTTGCCAAAACCTCCTGGGCGAAAGTTTGCACGCCTCCGCAGAGCTTCGCACAACTCTGCGAATTCGGTCGATCAGCTCGACATCGCTCGGTCGAACAACGTTCGCCGAGCAGAGCTCCTCGACCCGAACTCTTCGACCAGAGTTCTGCGACCCGAACTCTTCGACCAGAGTTCCTCGACCAGGATCGTCGACCAGCGCTCTTCGACGGGAGCTTGTCTCGCAGAGATCGTCGACCAGAGATCGTCGCGCAGAGCTCGTCGCGCAGAGCTCGCTCGACCGCAACTTCCGTCGAACTGCAGAAGCCCATTTCGTCGACCAATCCGTCGCGAACTTCTCGTCGACGGCGAGATCGGCTGCGCCCAAGCAAGGGCGGGGCCTTTCTCTTCGACACTCCCCTGCCCAGCTCACGCTTGGGCACCCACACACAAGGTCCACCCAGAACCCAGAGGAATAGAATACAAGGAGAAAATTCCTTCTGGGTGCACCCAACACATAGCACGCAGATCACCGCACCAGCCGTGCAGAAGGGCACGACACCTACTGCTGCACCATGTCATCCCCGTCGCCCACGTCGGCCAGACGCACTTGGTTGATTGCGTTGGAGCACCAGTTGAAAGCCGGAAATTGCAGCGCCTTCGTCAGAAAATCTGCCGGCTGCTCGGTGGTCGGGATGTACTGCAGAGCAATCTTCCCGCGCTTCACCATATGGTGCAGCCAGGCGTAACGTCGCTCCATGTGCTTGAGGTTGCCCTTGAGCCCCAAGCCCTCTACGACAGTGATTGCCGACTGGTTGTCCACGTGCAGAACAGTCGGCTTCCTTGGGTCGAGCAGTCGGAACTCTGCAAGGAGGAAGCGCAGACGGCGAGCCTCCTTGCCAGCTTCCGTGGCCGCGACGTACTCTGATTCGGTCGACGAGAGCGTCGCGCATTTGATGCGCTGGCTCGACCAGGAAACTACGACTCCTCCAAAGATGAAAATGTAGCCGCCCGTGCTCGTCCAGTTCTGCTTATCACCAGCGTCGTCGGCATCTGCATAGCCGACCAGACACAGCGACTCTGGTCCGCCGCCGAACTCCAGAGCGGCGTCACGAGTTTCAGCGAGGTAGTGCAGACAGCGATCGACCTCACGCCAGTGGTTGTCGCTCCGCACTGTCAGGCTGGATCCGAGCTTGCTCCAAGTGAAGGCAATGTCGGGCCTCGTCGTGGTGGCCGCGAACTGCAGCGAGCCGACCTTCTGCCGGTACTCTGCTTCCTCGCGCGACAGAAACTCCTCGTCGTCGAACATCAGCTCGGTGTAGGCGTCGACGGAGACCGGTGTCTTCGGCACTCGCCCGGTCTGCTCCTCGTCGATGAAGCGTCTGTACAGCTTGTCGACGTAGACTTGCATGTGAAGCCACAGCTTCCTCGCCGGCCTGTTGCGCACGATCTCCAGCCCGAGATACTTCTCGACCGGCTTGATTTCGCGCAGCTCAAATGCGGCCTCCAGCAGCTCCTTCAGCTCCTTCAGCATCGCAGTGCTGCTGCTCGCGGCGAGCAAGTCGTCGACGTAGACGAGCACCCAGCACGCCACTCCGTCGTCGCCGACCTTGAAGTAGAGCGCCTCATCGACCTGACTCTTCTTCCAGTCGGCGCCAGTCAGCACGTCGTCGAGCGCCTTGTACCACAGCAGCGGACTCTGCTTCAGGGCGTATAAGCTCTTCAGCAGCTTGTAGACGCGGCCGGTTCCGTCGTTGTAGTGGTCGGGCTGGTACATGTAGAGGACACGATCCAGCTTGCTCTGCAGAAACGCGTTCTTCATGTCGAGCTGCATGAGATGCAGGTCGAGGACCGCTACAATGCTAAGGAAGATCCGCAGAGTTACATAGCTCCCCACCGGCGCGTACGTCTCATCGTAGTCTGCGCCGTAAATCTGCGTGAAGCCTTTCACCACCAGACGCGCCTTCTCGCGGGCGACCGTGTCGTCGACGTGGTACTTCGTCGTGAGTACCCAACGATTCTTCATCACGTTGACACCAACGCTCGACCAGCTCCCACGTCCCGTTAGAGATGAGACTCTTGATCTCCTCGTCCATGGCAGCCTTCACCGCCTTGCCTTTCCAGCTCGCCAACGCCTCTTTCACCGTCATGTTGGCGATGTCCCAGCGATGCTCTGGGTCGGCGTGCATGTCGGGGTCGAGCTCGGGAAGATCGACATCGTCCTCTGCGTCGTCGAGCAGAGTACTATAGGCCATCGATGGCAGACAGGCGTGGTAGCTCAGCTTCTCAGGCGGCTTGCCGATGTTGGAGCGGGCAGACCGACGCAGTTTTGTCTCTTCGACCGCGACCTCCACCACGTCGCTGTCGTCGGACTGCTCCCCTGTCAACAGCTCCCCTTCATCGCCGCCGGCCGCAACGATGACTTCCACAACGTCGCTCGACGAGTCGTCGTCGAACTGCTCCCATGTCGGCAGCTCCTCTACCGACGGCTCCCCTGAGGCCGACGCCTCTGCCGACGGCTCCCCTGAGGCCGGCGCCTCTGCCGACGGCTTCTCTGCGGTCGGCGCCTCTGCCGACGGCTTCTCTGCGGTCTTCTTCGGCGTCGGCGACTCCCCTGTCGTCTGCCGCTTCCTGTCGCTGACCTTCTCGGCGTCACGTTGGCCACCGGCGATGCAACCGGTCGGCGCCGCAGTCGACGCACCAAGTCTCCCCTCATCGCCGGCGGCCGACGAGGATCCCTGAACAGGGGGAGGGGGGGAGGGGGTGACGTCGTCTGCGTCGTCCTCATCAAGCTCGTCGTCCGCAGCGAGCAGTGGAGGGTGCACCGAGGAG